TGGGAGGGACCACTGGGGGCTCCTGGAATCACCATTTCTGGTTCAGCAGCCTGAGTGACGCCCAAGAGTCTAGGTTCGGTTTGGGGGGTGTGTTTTGTTTTTTGGTGCTTCTGGGGTCATGTTGTGAGCAGGTGCTCTACCACTTGAGCCATGCTGTCAGCCATTTTTTGCTTTAATTATTTTTCAGATAGGATCTTGCACTTTTTGCCCAGGACCAGTCTGGACCTCCATCCGCCTACGTATGCCTTTCTCTTAGCTGGAATCACAGGTGTTCACCACCTTGCTGGCATACTTGTCGAGATAGGAGTCTCACTTTTTGCTCAGGCTGGACTGAACCTTAATCCTTTTGATCTCTGACTCTTGAGTAGCTGGGATTACAGGCCTGAGCCACTGTGCTCAGCAAATCTGCATTTCTGATGAGCCCCCAAGGTGATGCCCAATCTGAGAGTTGCTGGGGTCTCCAGGGGAAGGCCCCTGCCAGTGGGGTGACCCAGGGCAGTGCCATCTGAGGCTCTTCACTCTGGAGACTACAGGTCCTTAAGACAGAATCCTCACTATGCTTCAGACCTTCAAGGGGTCACAGTTCCTTCCTGCCTCAAACACGGAGAAGCCAAGACACCTCTTTCTTCTGCTTCTACACCCTTGCTCTGCCTAAGGTCATCCTTTCCCCCCAGGAAAGCGTCCTTCTGGGGAGACAAGCCACCTCCTCCTACTGGAGGAGCAGCTACCTCAGGCTGGCATCTGCCTGCATCCCTGGATTGTACATTAGCCAAAGCCTCAGTTCTTTCCCGATGCTCCAAGCATTGAATGCAGCAGGCTCTTCCAGACCCTCTACTGCCCAATCTGCTCCTGCGGTGCCGTTTGCATGCCATCTGCTGCTCACTCAGGCGCACCCGAGGCTGACTGACTCCAGCATCCTGGTTTAAGTGCAGGAGGTGCAGTTACACCCCAATTCCAAGAATTCAATGTATTTGGTTAGAAAAAAATTTTAATATAAAGTATTTTTAACTGGGTGTGGGATGGAATAGACATGACAGAATGATCACAGGTGCCTAATTACACATGTAAATGAGTTCAATTTCATAATCTTCCCTGAATTCCTTTATTTACACAGTTAACATTTTATGCTAAGCCATACCACCAATGCATTTAGGATTCATTTCTTTTTACTCTGACATGTCAATTCTGAAATAGTAAAAGCAATTTAGAACATTTTGATATAACCATTTTTTTTCAGTTATTCCATTTACCATCATAACTGACCTACAAAATAGACAAGGGGTACACATCACTCTCATTTGAAAACTGTAATTAATCGCCTCCATCCAGCATACGAAGTCCCACAATGAGTCAGTTCTCTGGGGGAAAATATCCTGATCTTGAAGGAACAGGTCCCACAGATCTAGAATATAAGATCAAAGTACTAAGGTAAGGATATTCTGAAGGTGAAGTCAGAGCTGACATCCTGCTAGATCAGCAAAGACTTCCTGGAGGAAGCAGCATGCACGCAAAAGGGAGTAGATGTGAAACCATGGCAGGGCAGTAGTCAAGAGACTGTGCAGACAGAAACAAGGCCACCAGCAGAAGCCAGGGAAGCAGGAGAAAGGAGAGTGGCCAGTAGAGTCACAAGGGAGGCAGGAAGCCACCTGGGCCAGCCAGATACCACCAATGCCCAAAGATGAGAGTGCATTTAGTTTTGGGTTTCATAAAATTTTTCAAACTTACACAAAGGTAGAGATACAATGAACCAATGCCCATTCAAAAGTAACCAATGTGGCCACACTACCTTTTTTGCTGTGTGGCTACTTTCCTGAAATAGCCTACAGCAACCCCCAGGCCTCATGGGATATTGCATTATACCTTGCTAAGAAATATGGACATCCTGTTTGTGCTGTTTTTGTTTTAATTTCATCAATGTTCATATATTATATTCATAACTGAAGAGGGACTAAATGTTATTTGTGTGTGTGTGTGTGTGTGTGTGTGTTATTCTTCGTGTTCCAGTTCCTTTTACATCAATACTCATGGGTAGGCTGGCTAGGCTGAGTTGGATCAAGTCTATTGAAGGCTAAACCTCCACCACTTATTTTTGTGACACCTGTTTTAATTTACTTTTAAACAGATTATCTGAGTTGATCATTACTGACGCAAGGAAGGCAGGTTATTTATAGTCTCATTTCATAGACAAGAAAACAGAGGCTCAAAATGGCTACCATATGACTTTGACCCTGGGTTTCTGCTAAGACCTTCCTTCAAAATCCACAGGAAGAAAGCTTTGCTCCCAGCTCCTTTGTTGAAGTTCCTACTGAATACCTAGGCCTGACCTACCTGGAGGTCTTCTCCTGCTCTCACCCAGATTAAACACCCTCACCGGAGGTAGGCCATGCTCTGTCCTGGCATGGATGCTGCACAGAACGATGCACAAGGGACTCTTCAGCTTGGCAGTGCGTGTAAGTGACAGAATTTGCTGGGAACTTAGCTCTCTGGGAAGAAAGCCATATAGACTGTTCTCCACACACCTACTTACAACAGTCCTTAAGAGCCACATAGCAGGCTCTGGTATCAGTTCCACAGCTTCCCCCTAAAGAAATGGGGAAGACCATTTGTGGGGATGGCTGCAGGGACCATCCCCAATGGGTCCTGTGTGCTTTGGCTGGAACACTTGCTTCCTGTTTCTGCTTCCCCATCCTGCTCACAACCAGGAACAGAATTGGTGCCTCAAGTATTAGGCTTTAGTAGGTGGCTAGACAGGCCAAAACAAAAATGCCCCAGCATTCTGATGAGACCTCACACAGAGCCAGAAAGCCAGGCCACCACAGGCTTCAGGAAAACAGGTGGCCTGAAGAGGGAGTAGCCTAGAGTGGGAGAAAGACCCTTCTCCTAAAAGTCTGTGTGGCACATGGGGGCTAGAGTTCAACCTGGATCCATCAGGGTGGGCAGTCTGAAAGCCTCAGGGATCCCTCACCCATGGTAGTAGCAAGGCCACTCCTTCATTAATGTCACAGGCAGAGGCCAAAAATAGGGACTGAGCCTTGACACAGTGTTTCCTGGAATCAATTTCTAGAGGATCCAGTGGAGATCAAATGCATGTGAGCTCATTTCCGCCTACATGCTAGGAGTGGGTAGTGATCTGTGTGTGATACAAACACAGGGGTGGAAGCCAATCAAAGGCGTGCCCCAGAGGGACCCGCTGAAGCACCTATCTCTTGATCCACAATAAGAGCTTAGTTATCACCATAGATATTACAAGTTACTTTTCATTGGTGAAATAAGTTTTCAAGATGTGTGGACTGGCTAGGAACACTGCAATCCTTCCTCTCCTAGCATAAACAGCATATAAGGAATTAGGGAGATGAAGTGCCTATCTGTGGAATAGTTCCTCAAAATGACTGCTGGACTGTTCTGTAACTGGGGTGACCAATCAGAAAGTGGCTGAAACACTGTACAATCTGTTCTAGCTGAATTTTTCACACAAGGTGCCTCCAAGGCATCTAAGTGGACAGATACATGGGATTTCAAGCTTACTGAAGCAGGACAAGCGTCTTGTTGTCAGTAGATGTTGACAGTGACTTTCCCAGTGCCATATTCTACCTGTTAGCAAATCTGTGAGAAAAGATACCTAGAGGCCTCACTCCTTTACAATCAGAAGAGGTCACAGATAATCTGTCAAAAAGAAACTCAATAATCACGAACGATCAAGTCAATTTGACTTGAAAAATTTGCTATGATAACTCTAGTAGTCTCAGAAATAGTTAGGGAATGTCTGAGCAAAAGCTGAGTGAGTTCTCAGATAGAGTCCTGTAATGAGAACACAGAAGAGGCCTGAGAAGTTTGGGCTTAGCTTTACAGGCCAGAGCAGGCCTGCCACAGCTAATGTGCTCAGTGAATGTGTGGATTTCTGATCTCAGGTAAATACCACAATTTAGTTTGTAAAAATCAATTTCAAAGCACTTTTTAAAATCTTTATTCTCTTCCAGATCATAAAAACAATACATGTTCCCTATAAGTCTTTCATTAGAGAAAATAAAAAATACAAAAATCTCCCTAGAATCCTACCCTCAGAGATAACTATCACTGTCTTTAGTAAGTATTCTTCCAGGTTTTTTTTAACACAAAGAAGTAAATATATACTATTTTGCCCTTGCACAAATTTTCAAAATAGTTCTGACAAATAATTCAACTGACCATCTTTTCCAGAGAACTTTAAGCATGAGACCATCTTTTCCAGAGAACTTTAAGCATGAGTTTTCAAAGAGTGAACCACATAGTAGGAGGGAAAAATTCTCTTAAGATATTCTTACAATTCACTATCAAATATTGTCCAAAGTATTAAAAGTGACAAAGCTTTTAAAAAAAAGATAATTGGACCCAAAGAAAAAAATGGTTCAGAAAATCACCCCAGTTGCTTAATAAAATAAAAACTCCTAAATTCCAATTACACTGAGTATCATAAAATGGTTTTAAAATTCAAATAAGAGGGTCTGACGGTGTGGCTCAGTGGCAGAGTACTTGCCTAGCATGTGCCAGACCCTAGGTTCAATCCCCAGGACTGGAAAAACAAAACAAAACAAAAAATTCAAGCCTGGCACTGGTTAGTTCACACCTGCCATTCTAGGTACTTGGGAGGCTGAGATTGGGAGAACTGAGGTTCGAGGCCAGCCTGGGCAAACAGTTATGAGACCCCATCTCCAAAATAACCAGAGCAAAATGGACTGGATATGTGGCTCAAGTGGTAGAGCACCTGCTTTGCAAAGCTCTAAGTTCAAACCCCAGTCCCACCACCCCCCCCCAAAAAAAAATCCAAATGAAATGAATAGTCACATCTTTATCATAAAATTATCTACAGAAACATTTACAATTCTCATTAAAGAAAGAAGGGCCAAAGAACAAAAAAAGAAAGGGAGGCAGAGCAGGATGAGAAACACAGAGCACAGTTCAGCTGTTGGAACTGTCAAAGGACAATTTTGATTCAACCTCCCATAGCTTCGTCTGTAGTGCTATCAAGACGTCTTCCTCTTAAGATTAAAAAGCTCTTTATCTTCGGGCTCAATTTGCTTTTCAGAGGACCCTAAAGTATAACTGAAGTGCAGTACAAGGTTAAAATATGAAAAGGGAGCAAGTACTAAGTTTATAAATATTAAATATTGATATTAAAACTGTAAATACATAATACTACATATTAGAATGAAGTAAATGAATAAAACAACTACCTTTGCTAATGGCAGCCTACTTAGGAAGCAATACAACATACAATCACATTTCTGTATAACAGCATTGCTCAGCTATTTCTACACATTAATTCCCATTATAAATACTTCACTATTAGAATAAACTTTCTCTTTAGGAAGCTGGGTGGCAAAAAACAGTGCCACAGTGCAAAACGCCAAGGACAAGCGCAAAGATTCCAAAGAAGCCCTGCTTTCTTCTTTATATAACTTTTCAGAAACCTTTGACTTTTACTAAGTAATAATTTGTGGAGCCAAATCTGCCATGAGAAGGTGCTAACATTTAGCAAGAAGTCTACTCATACCAAGCAAACTGAACAAATAAAATATTGGTAAGACTCAAAGCTATGTTTGTATTTTAATATTTCAAGAATATTAAATATTTTGATTTGGGCATGAAATGTCATTATTTTGTCAATACAGCTTTATTTTAATTCAGAGTTTGGTTCCCCAAAAAAAGCAACTTTACTAACAACTGATTATCTAAACTTAGGTGACTTTAACAGTTACCTTCCAAGTCATGTTTTGCTCAACTCTAGGAGGATGAAATGCTATGGTTTGGAAAAGTATTAAACAGCTGAAAACATGGTCTAGCAATGGGAGGAAAACAGGCCAAGGGTTGGCAACCAGAAAAATCTAAACATAAGGAGGAAAACTTGAGTCTTTTGCATTTCTTTTTCTCCTCTCTCCCCACAACTTTGGGGAGAGAAGAGCAAGAACTTTCATATTTCTTTAGAAGTTTTATTACAAGCAGCAATTTCATTATGTCACTTCTTTTATCAAATAGTTTTCCCTTGGAAATCCTATGGATTTCATTCCTGAAAAACAGCAATGGTGGGCAAAATCATAGACGGCAGTTTAACATCCTATTTAGAAAAACAAACAGACAAAAACAGGAGATGAAGTAGAAAATGAAATGTCATTTGAGTAATACATCAAACTGTAAGTAAACATTACAGAGAGCATCTACCTTCTAAACACAACCAGATTCCTTGGATTAAATTCAACTGTTTAAGAAAAATAACTTCAATATCATGATATTCTGGGGCAAACTCTTACACACACTTTCCTTTTATGCAGGTATGACTTTAAGTGTTTTATACCAACTTTACAGGACTAAAATTTTATTTTTATTATTTTTTTCTGGCAGTACTGGGGAGTGAACTCAGGACTTTGCACGTGCTAGGCAAGTGCTCTACCTCTTGAACCGTATCTTCGGCCCTTTTAGTTTTACAGATGGGGGTCTTGCTGTGTAGCCTAGGCTGGCCTTGAACTCATAATCCTAGTGTCTCAGCCTACAGAGTGTTGGGATCACAGATATATACCACCAGAACCGGCTAAAGTTTTTGTATCTTTTATACTTGAGTTAATTTTACCTTGGTAAAAGTCTCATGGAGTTTTTAATGAAGCACCTCTGGATCTTCTATTCATATATTAAAACCAAAACAACTATGTCTTCAGACACACCTCCATGGTTTACAACAAGGAACAGTACTTTTCATGTTATTCTACTGTGCAAGGGCTATGAAGAGTTAGTAGACTGTTAAATTTTAACCTAAACCTGTCTAGTTTCAAGAAATTGGCAAGACTGCAGTTATCAAGAAATATCTAGATACAAAATTATAAATTTTTTTAAAAGTCTAAGAAATGCTCAAGCATGATAAAATACCTCAAGTAGGCCAACCACAGTTGCTGAAGCCTATAATCCTAGCTACTTGGGAGGCAGAGATCAGAAGGATGGCATTTTGAGGCCAGCCCAGGCAAAAAGTTTACAAGACCCCCATCTCCACCAATGGCTAGATGCAGTGGCATGTGCCAGCTGCCTATGAGAAGCACAAAATAGGAGGCTCCTGGTCCAGGGTGGCCCAGGCATAAAGCAAGACTCTGTCTCAAAAATAACCAAAGCAGCTGGTGGAGTGGCTCAAGTGGTAGAACACATGCCTAGCAAGTGTTAAGCCCTGAGTTCAAACCCCAGTATCACAAAAAAAAAAAAAAAGTGTAATAAAAATAACCAAAACAAAAAGAGCTGGAGGCGTGGCTCAAGTGGTACAGTGCCTGCAAAGCCCTGAGTTCAAACCCCAGTACTGCCGAACAAAAACAAAACAAAAATCCCTCAAGTAATGAAAGTATAAGCCCCTTCTTTCCTCAAGTTGTTCTTTCCTGTTATATAAAGTTTCTTAGCATCCTTAAAGTCTTAAGGGTTAAACATTTCCCAGGAGAAGTGAAAATCAAGGGATCAATTGATTTATCTAATTTTGTGTTTCCTATCTTAAAAGGCCAATGAACTACACTCTATTTTTAAAAATTGAATATATTTTTACCTCAAAACAATTTCTCACATTTTCTCCTATAATTTAGAGCCTGACTTTTTTGCTTTGAAAAAAAAAAAAAAAAAAAGAAAAATTAATCACTAGCTTTGTCAGAAATTATTACTCAAAAATATATTTTAAGCAAACAGTGCTGACATGGTTCTGATGTTTTCATACCAGTTTTACTGCAAACTTAACTTTCTGAGAAACTAGTTATGAGACAGACATTTGTACATCAAACCTACCTTTCAATGGCTTCAACGCTGAGACAAAACAGGTCCCTCTTGTAATCCAGATTCTTGGGAGTGCATTTGTACACATAGCCGAGGGTGAGGGAGCAGCCCATACAGCACAAAGTCTCAAGAATGCTGCCAAAAAGCAATATCATCACTTCAGGGAGCAAAGCAGCCACTTACAATAGTGAAAGCCCACTGGTTAAAATCCTTAAACCCTTAAGTTCTATATATATATATATATATATATATATATATGATGGTATAATGCATACAACAGAAATGCAAAAAAGAAAAAGACGCTCATCTCCAGGCCACACTGCTTGCTGCATCTAATGACAAGGAGAGCATACTGAGGTAACAATTTCCCAGAATGTAAACTCCAGGAACTCGTGTTAAGAAGAATGATCTAAAGCTTGGAAATCCCACAAAGATTCTACATGTCCTTTAATGTCATTGTCTAACTAACAGGCCCGCCAAGGGTCACTAACACTCTAGGGAGTGGGCAGGAGTAAGCAATGCATGGCTAAGGCCTCCAGGCCATCTGGTAACTGCTGTTGACATCAACTTTCCCATGACAAAGAAGCAGTCACAGACAAGGCAAAACTGAATAATCTCTGTTCCAATAAAAATGTACTCACAAAAAAAGGGACCCAGCCCACAGGACGGTTTGCCAGCCCTACTCTAGTGGACAATAACAGTGTTTGTTCACTCAGAAAAGATGCTGAAGTTGGACAGATGACTGAAAGTTGAAGGTGGAAAGCTGCATTTCTGCAAGTAGGAAAGTTAACCCCAATGGCTGATGTTATACTGTCTTCCAGGCTGTTAACCAGCTCTTCCCACAGCAGTATCCTCCCCTGAGCCAGCTTTGCCACACTCTGCTTCCCTTTGACGTATGTTCATTACATATCTGCTAGGAATTTTTTGATTATACTTTGACACAAATGCCTTTCTGTCAGCTAGCGATGTGTCCTACACAGGTAACTGGTGAGGATTTTACTTAATGGACTAGCATTATCCCTTCATTGTAGACACTTTTCAATGCAGGCTCTGCACATCTGAATATACTCTCCCTCTGTGCCCACTCCCGTCTTCTCTAAACCTGGCTTAGAATCTACCACCTCTCAAAAGCCTTGTCAAGTTGGCCCATGCACATTTACCATTCTATAAATATCTGTATCAAAATTACACTCCCAACACGTACCAAATTGATGATTACTGGATATTTACATCTAGTGCTGACAATAAAGTTTTACTATTTCAAAAGTATTTTAACCCCTGCTTAGCATGTGAATTACTTGTCCTCACTAAATGCCTGTTCCTGCTATCAAGCAAAAGGGAGCCGCCCAAGACAAACAGCTCACATTGCCATTCACCTAGGGACAGTGGGAGGTGCTTCTCATTTCTGCAGCCAGCCAAGCACCAGTAGCTTGTATGCCACTTGAAGCTGATAGCAAGGTGACAGGTATGGCAAGGTATCTGTCCTTTCAACCCTTGCTGAGGCCACATAGGACCTGGCATTGCTGGAAACCCAGGGTTGGTTGTTTCTGGCCACAGGTTGGGGGGTGGGGGTGGGGGGGTTAGCATTTTCTATGTGTGACATGACATAAAAAGGTCACTGATCTAGGCATCTCTGAGTCTGAGAGTTTATGATACAAGTATTTCCTTCTACATTTGAATTTTCTTCAAACTGATTTTATTACTATGAAAATAGTTTTATCCCAGGTAATGATGGAAGATTTTCACTTTAAAGAAAATATCTTCTCTAACATAATAGTCATACAAACAGAGCCTTACTCACCAGCCATTTTCATCTTTGCATTTGGACAATTTCTGTTCCTTATCCACAGAAACATTAGAGGAAACACCTGCAAAAAAAGTAACAATGCTTTGTTAATGTGGTTTGTGATAATATACAGGCAGACATTCAGAAAACTTCCAACACAACTTTTATTTCAGAATACTGGGGCTTGAAAAAATAAGAACCCAAGGTCACAAGCATACCCAAGGGTAGCTCAAAACTAAATGTACGGGGGTCTTCTGGAAAAAGATGGTGGGGTAGGAATTAGTTCATTCCCTTCCCTGAAAAATGACTTTAACAAAATGAATAAAATTAGAGGGGAAAATTCCATCAGTAGTGGAACTTGAAGCAATTAGTCCCTCAAATCACAGGCTACACAGAGTGTCTGCCAGATACAGTGAAACTGGGATCAAAACCAGCATACACATCTCCAGATCCAAGCACAGAGCCTATTTCTCTCAAAGTAACTGAGAGTCCTCAGAGCCCCAGCCAAACATCTTTTACTTGGACATGGATTGGGTGAAGTCACAGCTGTTCACCAGGAGCAGCAAACACTCCCAAAGGAGGGAAATGAAGAAAGGCAATCAGCTGTAAAACTATCAACAGACTGGATTTCACCTCCTTCTACCAACCTACCTTAACTACACCTTCCCATATACTCAAATCAGAAACTGAGTATCAAATTTTTTTTTTTTTTTTGGTTCTGGGGGGGTCACAGCCAGAGCCTTGGCATGGTAACCTCTACCTTGCAAATCTTACTCCAGCCCTCAAAGCACCACACCACCTCTTACCGGAACCACTGCACTGTAATAGAGACCCATCACACTAAGGAGCCCCTCCATTTGTTCCCAAGGAAAGGGGCCCCTACACTCCCCTGCACAGCCTCTTCTCTCACTAGAATGGATTCCTATTCTTTACAACAACCTACAGGTCTCTGAATTTTCTGGTTCCAATAAATCTTGTCTTTATCGTATGCTTTGGCCACACTAGCCTGAGGCCTTTTGCCAATAAACAAAGATCAGGACTCAAGAATCTTACATACAGCTAAGTTAGGATTCATGTACAAAGATAACAGAAATAGGGCGGGCAGAGTGGCTCAAGTGTTAGAACACCTGTCTAGCAAGCGTGAGGCCCTGAGTTCAAACTCCAAAGCCACCAAAAAGTAAAAGTAAAATGACACTTTAAATTCTATTGGTCAGGTACCAGTGGCTCATGCCTGGAATCCTAGCTACTCAGGAGGCAGAGATCAGGAGGATCGCAGTTTGAAGCCACCCTGGGAAAATAGTTCGTGAGACCCTATCTTGAAAACACCCAACATAAAAAAGGACTGGTGGAGTGGCTCAAGGTGTCACAGGAGTGATACCTGACTTCAAGCCCCAGAGCTGCATTAAAAAAAAAGGAAAAAAAAAAAAAGGATAAGAGGAACATTATGTTTCCTTGGGGATTGAGGAGGTCAAAGAAACAACTCAGGGATGGGAAAGCTGCTAGTGAGTTTTCTTCTGTTAATGAAACTACCAGAACTGAGAAATGAATTCATATAAATAATAAGGCTAAATGGCCCAGACATGCCATGGCTACAAAACAGAATATACACGTTAAGCCAGGTGTAGTGGTACACACTGTAATCCCAGCTACTCAGGAAGCTGACACAGGAAGATCACAAGTTTAAGGCCAGTCTGGGTGAGATCATTTCAAAACAGAAAAAATAATTTTAAAAAGAATGTAAATATTATAAACCTGAAGAAAGTAAACAACTCAGATTAAGGCAGCAAGGAAGAGAAATTAATCCAAGAGTTCAATTTTTTTTTTTTTTTTTGTATTTCATGGGGCTGGGGGTAAATCAAATTACCTAAAGCTGTAAACCAAGATATTTATATAAAGTTTTTAAGATTTAATAGCCATTTGTATTAAAAGCTAAGAAATCAAAATAGCATTCTTATATATAAAACAAAGAAAAGAAACCATTGTGGCAAAAAAGTAAACCCACCTACTAAAAGCAAGGGCTTCTACAGTATCAAAAATCTCAACCCAATTACATGCTGCTCCAATGTCAGCAGTGCTGAGAACCTAGGCTTCCATCAGGACTCAGAATGTGCCGGGTGCCAGTGGCTCATGCCTGTAATCCTAGCTACTCGTCAGAAAGATCATGGTTCAAAGCCAGCCCAGGAAAATAGTTCAAGAGTCCCTATCTAGAAAATACTCAATACAAAACAGGGCTGGTGGAATGGCTCAAGTGGTAGAGTACCTGTCTAGCAAGCGTGAGGCCCTTAGTTCAAACCCCAGTGCTGCCAAAAAAAAGAAAGAGACAGACTTGATGGATCAACAACACCCTCATTTGAGAACTTTATTCTGAACATTAACTGGATTAATCCTCACTACTGCCCCACGGGAGTATTATACCTGTATTAGAGAAGAGGAAACTGAGTCAGATAGAGGTTGAATAGCTTGCCAAGGATACACAGCTAGTCAGTAGCAGGCCACCATTCCAACAGAAGCAGTGGCAGCCTCTACCACCATGTAGTTTTGCCTCTCAGCAAGCAGCTGCTAAAAGTGAAGTCTATCCATATTCACTAACATGAAAGAGTATTTGGAATACATGCATGGACTTAAAGGAGAGTAGTACAGATACCAGTGGCTTATACCTGTCATCCTAGCTACTTGAGAGACTGAGATCCAGAGGCTCGAGGCAGCCCAGGCAAATAATTTGTAAGACTCCATCTCCAAAATAGTCAGAGCAAAATGGAATCCAGAGGTAGAGTACCTGCATTGCAAAGCATGAAGCCCTGAGTTCAAACCCCAGTCCCACCAAAAAAAAGGTACGAGTATGGTCATTTAGCCTTAACAATATGAATACAATCTTGTGTTTCTTAAAACTTTTACATATTCATACATACACATGCATGGAGCATATCTGGAAGGGTGCACATGTAACTTTAGAACAATTTAAGTATGGAGGTCAGGGGATAAGTCCTTCTTACATTTACACCCTTCTTGCGTTGTTGTTCGATAAGGCAAAGGGATAATCCCTTACCCAGGATCCATCTGGGTAAGTAAGGAGACTTTTGTCCTTAATAATCCTTGTGAAGGCCGAGGTAAGAGGTTAGCAACTTAATTTGGAGCCTGCAACTTTCTCTCTGACAATGCCCCTTCTGAGGCAGGATAGATGAAGAAACAGGGAAATTAAAATTAATATTAAAAGGGCCAGACTCAGACATTAGAACCAGGAAGTAAACTGGGGGGAAAAAACCTCAGCAGCGGGAAGCTGCCTTCCATTACCTCCTTTCAGATGTCACGTTACAAGAATACTCAGCAATAACTATTAATGAACAATTATTATTCATTAATAATATCTTTATGGAAAACACTAAATTTAACTTTCTCCCTTATTCTTAGCATTACACCCCAGGAAAGCATTCCATAAAGATAGAGTCTCCCCATATAACCCAGGCTGGCCTCAAACTCCAAGGATGGCCTCAAACTTGAGATCCTCCTGCCTCAGCTTCTCAGGTGCTGGAGGTTACAGCTGTGCACCACCACGCCCAGCTTGAGTTCAGTAAATTGATGGTGAGTTTCTACCACCAAAATATGTACAGAATTCAAACAGCGTAAACGTCTTACTTATTAAGTCAGCCAGGTGTTGTGTCAAGGGCCTGTGGTTTCAGCACCCAGGAGGCTGAGGCAGGAGAGAAGCAAGAGTTCAAGACTAGCCTGGGTTATATAATGAGACCTGTCTCCAAAAAAAAGAAAAAAGAGAAGAGGAGGAAGGAGAAGGGAAGAGGAGGGAGGAGAAAGAAAGAGACCAACAGACAGACAGACTGGGGGCGTGGGTCAGTCCCCAGTACCACAAAAAAAAAAAAAAAACCTAAGAACTCACATTAAGTGAACCATGTTAGCCCTAAGTACTGTAAATAAACAAGTAACTGAATTAAGTTACTTTTTAACTCTTCTTCCTTCCTCTCCCATTTTGATGGGGCTTTTGGAGCATTTATTTCAAGTTCCCCCCACCCCCACAGCACTCAGTGTTTTTAACACTTGATGCTGTAAAGGCATCCGCTGATGGAGCCCCTAAGATCTGCGAAATAAATCATGACACTCCCCTGCGGGACGCTTAATTTCTTAAGTGAACCATCAGCAATCCCATTTACTAATTAACAGCCCGCTAATTTCCGTGGCCCTACCGCTCAGGCTTAGTTACGCGATTCTGAAAAAAGCTCCCGAAGATGTTGGTTCAATCCCTGCCCTTCTGGGACAGGAACCCCTGGAAAAGACCTGTCACTTGTAAGCCCCTCCCCCTCCCGTTTCCTGAGACTTTCCTGCTTCAAAGCCCCCGGCCGCGCCAGGGTCCCCTCTGCTCCCTCAGGACGCCGAGGTGTGGTACACCTGGGGAGAAGGCGGCCCCCACCGCGCCCTCCCCGGCCCGGCCCCAACTGACAGCGCAACAGGATGCAGTTGGTGTCCTCCTGGCTGGCCACCCAGCTCAGCGAGTCGCCCAGCGGCCGCCGGCAGCCGGAGCACAGGAACACCAGCGGCCTGTCCTCCGCCGCCTCCTCCTCGCGCGGCGCCTGCTCCGCGCCGGCCTCCGACGCGTCCCGGCTCGTAGAGTTCCACGTGCTCGTCCATTTCTGCAGCAGCTGGTGTCGCCTAGAGTCTTCGGACAGCCGCCTGCCCAACAGTGAGGAGTCGCTCCACTTGCTCTTGCGGTCGCATACACAGGAAGTCGAGGAGCATCCTCTGCAACAAACCGGTGACCAAGCACCCGCCATTACCTACAAATCTCCCGCGCCCGCGAGAGGCCGGGCGAAATGCCTTCTGCGCATGCGCGGGGCGGGGGAAGGCGGGGCTGCCGGGGAGGGACCAAGGCCTGAAGGGCGGGGCCTGCGGAAGAACGGCTGCCCCACCTAGTGCGCATGCCCTCTGCAGGCTGGGCGGACCGGCTGGTCACTGCGCCTGCGCAAGCGTCAAGTTTTTCCATAAATTGGCAATTGAGCGCGTTGGGGAGGAGGTGGTGGATTGTCCGGGTAGGGAAAGTTATTCTCCCCTTTTCAGGGAGCGTCACCAGCAGAGAGATGAGTAGGTCCCCTAAGCCTTCCAGTTCCCACGGAAAACCACAGGAACTTGAGATCCACGTGTGAGCCTTGCAGCTTCTCAGCGTCTCAAACGGGAGGGCAGATGCGGATGGCCTTCTGTGTCACCCTGTCCTTGTACCCTAACATCTAACAGGAGGTAATGGGAGGCAGCTGTCGTTGGGAAAGTTTCTGGCCCCAAATTAAATTACCAACCCCTCACGTAGACCTTCATAGTGGTTAGTGACAGTGAATACACGCCGCACCCCACCCAGATGGAGGAGTTAGGAGGACACCTCTATTTTCTGTGGCCTTGCCCCACCATGAGATGCTATAGCCCCCTCAAACTTAAGCGTGCCTAAAAATTCTCCTGGGGATCTAGGGGCTCTGGTTCAGGCGATGGGTGTGGAGCATTGAGACAGTTTACATTTCCAGAAGTTCCTGGGCATTCCATGTTGTCGGTCTTGGCAACTCCACGTTTGATTCTGCCACTCTAGTTTCTCTGCTTCTGGGGTTCCACTTTTCATAAGGTAGAAAAGGCAGAGTTTGTTGGTGAACCACCTCGTCACACGTTCTTTTTTGCATTGTTAGTTATAAAGAAAGGCCCACAAAGGACCTGGGATCACTCAGACTAGCATTGTAAAGGAACAGTTGAGCTGGGCATGGTGGCTCACACCTGTAATCCTAACTACTCTGGAGGTGGAGATCAGGAGGATTAAGTTTCGATTGAGGTTTGAATCCAGCCCAAGCAAAAAAGTTAGGTTCCCCAAAAAAGCTGGATGTGGTGGTACACACCTGTCATCCTAGCTGATTTGGGAAACAAATAGGAGGGTTGCCATCCAGGCTGGCCAGAGCATAAGCTGAAGATCCTATTGGAAAAACACCTAAAGCATAAAGAGCTGAAGGCATGGCTCTAGTGGTAGAGCTCCTACCTAGCAAGTGCGAGGCCCTGAGTTCAAACTAATACTGCCACAGAAAACGAAAAAGTTGAAGAAGCTGACATGAGTAGCATAGGTGTTGCTGTGAATAAGGAGAAGGTGCCTGTCTGTCTGGATCAGAGAGCCATTCACCTTCCCAGGGGTGAGCATCCCTTCAGCACCCTAAGGACAGACTTCTGCAGGAAGCTGCTTCAGAAAGGCCACTCTGGTCTCAAAACACTACAGATCAGGAGGGAAACCTCGTGGGGGACAGGAGAACAGCACCACAGATAACCTTGGCAATGTATCTGGGAAGAAAGCTACCCCACCTGTTCGTATTGCACTTTAGGTGTTCTCCAAGTCACTGCCAACTTGCTTGATTAAATAAACTACTTAGATGAGAGTTACTTCCTAGTTTAGTGCCCCTGGTCATTATCAAAAAGCAGAAGCTTTGGAATCAGTTGTCATCAGTTGACTTACCCCTCCCTCCATAAGGTGGTAACCATGTAGGAAACTGCTTATGTCTTCTCTGATTCTTCACAGATTAAATGGATCGGTTCCCCACACAGGGTTGTTAATGAGGATCAAGTACACGATATGTGTGAAAATACTTTAACTCTAGCAGCCATTCCCCTGTTAATTAGCCTCCAACTGGAAGACAGTGCTTCAGTAATTGGCACTTTTTTCCCATCCATAGAATTCTCTCCCTGCTGCTGCTTTTAGACCACGTCTCCAGCACTTATCTCTAGTACAACACTAATATGACTCACATGAGTTATTCAAGTAAGTGGATAGCAACTTTGGAACTCAAGGGATGATATCTTTGCTTCTGATTTGGGGCTCCTGATGTCAATTCTGTAGTGGGGTATCGCCAGACCCTATAGAGAACATTTTTTTCTTTATTATATTTATGATAAAGTACAATGTATAAATTAGGCACTTTAAGAGATTAACAACAATAACTAATAATAAAAAGAACTATAATGATATACTATAATAAACATTATTTACAATTTATGCATTGTTTACTTCTGGAATTTTCCACCTCATATTTTTTGAACCAGGGATAACTGAAGCTGACTAAAGCTTAACTTCAACTGCTCTGAAGAAGGAATGCAAAACAGGGCTACAGGATGACTTTCAGCGCCCCCCCCCACCCTTCAACCTTCATGGATCATTTCCTCCATAAAAAAAATGAATTGCTATAAAGATGAATATATTTATAATAAATGAACTATGTAGAAAACCATTTTCTTTAGCCTAAAGTTGACTTTTTTCCTTCTACTTTTAAGGAAATTAAAATATTTTCATGGGCCCATCCTGGGCACAATGCCTCACAAGAGGATAGTGAAGTCAGCCTGATAGAAAAGCCAGCTGAAATGCAAAATAAGCTCCTTTAGTTTGTGTTGTGGACATAAAATAATTGGGGAGCACAAAATCACATTTTGTGTGGGGGCAAAATGAGATGCTTAAGATGACCTTTGACTGGATAGTGGTAGTAGCTCCTAGTTAACACAAGTAGGAGATTTAGATAATGTTGAGTTCAACTCAGTCACATCACCCACCATCCCAGGAATAGGTCCCTGAGGTTTCAACCAATCTCTGTCCAATTCTCTTCCCTCTTGCTGCTTTTGTGGAGCCAAGCATGGCCTTCCTAGACCACTGTCTGCATGGTGATTGGTACAAGGACAGTATCTACTGTTACTTTTGGTTGGGGTGTTCCATATGTTCCTTAGTTCTTTGAGTGCAAAATCGAGGGTTAGGTTGCCTGCCCCAGGTGTAGCAAAAGAACCCCAAAGTGTAGGAAGACAGCAAAGAATGGTTTCTTAGCAAAATGGAAATACACCTTGAGAAATGACTTGGGCAGCTTAGTAACAGCCACCTACCAAGAAGTTTCTGAGATGTGAGGTTTTATTATCCAATAGGGTGGAGTTACTTGATGGCATGAAATTGACACCCTTGTGGCTTGATGACTGCAGTGACTGGGTGTGGAAAGTCATACATCTATACATTTGAGAAAGTGAGGACAGGCACCTGTGCATTCACTCTTCTTTTGCCTTTTCTGGTCTAGTGTCCCCTTGAAGTTCACCTTCAAAGTGCATATGTGGCATTCATTGAGCGTGATCCATAAGAACATAGGTCCAGAGGTGTAGCCCAAGTGGTAAAGCTCCCACCTAGCAAGTGTGAGGCTCTGAGTTCAAACCCCAATACTTAAAAAGAAAAGAAAAAAGAAAAAGTATACGGTGTCATTATCTTAGTCATTGGTCCGCGGTATGGGCCCTCTGTGGTTTTATGATACCACCTCCTCAAAGGGGAATAGAATTGTGTAGCCTGGGGCATTTCCTGTTCCTGCTCGCGTCTACCTATCTGCCTGCCAAGACTACTTACGCTTATGCCACTCCACAAGTGTGATGCTCCCCTGGTGATAGGAATTGGCTTTGATTGACAACTTGACCTAGCTGTTTAATCATATCAAGTGGGAGTAAGTCTCAGTACTCTTGTTCAGTGGAAGAAATGTCCTCTTTGTTTCCTGGATTTAAACAAGGAAGCACACACCCAGGCACCCATCTTATAAGCCTGCAGAAGGCCACAGCTGAGACAGTCACAAAGAAACCGTTCACCAGCTTTCAGTTATATGAGCCAGTCAGTTCTCTTTATTGTGGAAGCCAATTTGAACTGTGGTTTTGTTTCTTTTTCTAGATGGGCTCTTGCTATGTTGCCCAGGCTATCCTTGAAGTCCTGGACTCAAGTGATTCTCTTGCTTCAGCTTTTTTTTTTTTTTTTTTTTTTTTTTGGTGGTACTAGGGTTTGAACTTAGAACCTCACGCTTGCTAGGCAAATGTTCTACCACTTGAGCCACCCTGCCAGTCCTGTTTTGTGTTGGGTATTTTTGAGGTAGGTTCTCACAAACTATTTGCCTGGGACTGGCTTCAAACCTCTTTTCTCCTGATCTCTACTTCCCGAGTAGCTAAGATTCCAGGCGTGAGCCACTGGGACCCCCCCCCCCAAACAACCCCCCCAAAACCCCCCCCTCAACCCCCACCAACCCCAACCCCCCAACCACCCCCCCCCCAAAACCCCCCCCCACCCCCCCCCCCCAACCCCCCCCCCCCCCACACCCCCCACCAACCCCCCCCACCCCCCCCCCGCCCCCAAAACCCCCAAACCCCCCCCAACCAACCAACACCCAACCACCCCCCCAGGGAACCCCCCCCCCCCCACCGGCCCGGAACGAAAGACCCCCACCCCCCACCCCACCCCACCCCAAACCCCCACACAACCCCCACCCCAACACCCCCCCCCCGACCCCACACCCCCACCCCCCCCCCCCCACACCCCCCCCCAACCCCACACCCCCCACCCCACCCCCACCCACCGGCCCCCCACCCCCCACCACCCCCCCCCCAAACCCCCCCCCCCCCCCCCCCCAACCCCCCCCCCCCCCCCCCCCCCCCCCCCACCCAACCCCCCCCCCCCCACCCCCCCCCCACCACCCCCCCAACCCCCCCCCACCCAAACCCCCCCCCCCCCCGACCCCCCCACCCCCCTCCCCACCCCCCCATGGCAATTTCTTCATTGAGATTCTGTTCACAGGTAAAGTGGTAGCAGAACTGCCTGTTCCCTTAGAGGGTGGCAGACCTCAGCATCAAATTCCAGTACTCTGTCTTTCCTTACAAAGTGCCAAGTGTGCTGGGGGTAGAGCAGAAACCCTTGGGGGGTCTAGCCGTCGAGCAGCGACTTGGCAGCGGTGGGTGGTAAGGGAGAAAGAGGAGATACTGAATG